ATTGCCAGCGATATGGGAGCTCCGGTGGAGAAGAAGCAACTCGTTTGGGTTTAGGGTTTAGGGTTTCAGGTTTCGGGTTTAGGGTTTAGGGTTTAGGATGTAGGGTTTAGGTGCATTGGATGGCGACACAGCCACTGCACAACCCTACTCACGGGCTCATGGCGCGTGGTGACTCGGGTTAGGAAGTGCCTCCTTTTGGGGTCCTTATTTCTAAATAAATCACTGTTTTTCGTAAACCCCCCAATTGGGATGCCGCTTCAGCACGCAGGCTGCGCGCTGGAGCAGCGCACTGAATCTTTAGGCTTAGGGCTTAGGGTTTAGGGTTCAGGGCTTAGGCTTTAGGGTTTAGGGTTTAGGGCTCCGGGCTTAGGGTTTAGGGTCTAGGGTTTAGGGTCAAAATGCAGAGTCCACTTCAGTAGGGAAGAAGCATTCTAGGACAAATTTCCGAAGCCAAACGCATGCTGTCTTGACTTGGGTGCGGTCTCAACTTTTGCTCTGAGTGCCCGTGACGAAAAATCACTCCGTCACCCCCCAACAGGGGCTTAGGGTTTAGGGTTTAGGGTTTAGGGTACTGGGAGGTTCACTGGAACTGTCCGCCGACCCTGGCGGCGTGTTGGATGGGAAAAGGAGGTGAAAACCTCCCTCTTTCCCTCCTTACCCCCCCAAAACGCGGGGGGGGGGGCTAGCACCGCGTAAACTCATGGACCATAGGCGTTTTCGCACAGGGCATAGGGGCTCTTTTGGGGGTCCCCTACCCCCCACCCCCCCCCCACCCCACCCCCCACACCCCCCCCACCCCCCCCCCCCCCCCCCCCCCACCCCCCCCCCCACCCCCCCACCCCCAACAGGAACCGCAAACAAAATCACCAAACCCCAAACCTTAAACTTGTTCTCCTGCGGGGTCGGTGGCTTGAGCCGGAGGCTCTTAAATTTAGTTCTGATCTGAGCTAGACGAGGCTTTTGGCCCCAAGTTGCAACTACCCTTGAACCTCAAATACCAGAATCCCTAAACCTTAAACCCTAAAGCGTAAAACTCTAAACCCTAAACCCTATAGACTCTATTAGAAACTATACTCAAACTTTCGGGTTTGCCAGGCTCCGAATTAGAATTGCTGAGGGAGCTGCAGATATTCCCAACTCCGTCATGGGCGGCTTGCGCGTGCCTTGGCCGCGCCCTACCCTCGAGGAATGTAGGGTTTGGGGTTTAGGGTTTAGGATTTAGGGTTTAGGGGCATTCAGAGATTACAGGGCTTGCAAGGCGTGTAGGAGAATCCCGAACCCCTCGCGCTCTATTGTACGAGGGCTTAGGGTTTACGGTCCAGGGGCTCCAAATCCCATAACTCTCTGACACACGAAGCCCTAAAAAACACCCCAAACCGCCCAAAGTCCCCAGAAGCAACGAGGAGCCCATCGGTTTGCTGCACGGGCTTCTTAGCTGCTGAGTTCAGAAGCCCCACTCAGTTCTATAGGGATTACAGTATCCCAAAAAGTAGAAAGTGTGCTCGCTCAGCTACTAAGGCTTAAACCCTAAACCCTAAACCCTAAACCCTAAACCCAGGCTTGATAAGGGACGCTTGCAACAACCAGAGAAAAGGGTAGAGCATGCTGCTGAAGCGTTTGCAACAGCTTAATATGGGTGGTTGTCAAAATCACGATCCCTTTTAAAGATCCAAAAAGGGGCTAGAATTTTGACAACCACCCATATAGTTTGAATATACTATAATCTATAATGACCCCCCCCCAAAAAAAAACCTATTCTAATCATTAAGGCCCCTATATTGATTCGGGCTTGGTTGTTGGACCTGGGTTTCGGGTGTAGGACTTTGGACTCAACTCGGGCCGGACTTACCGCCACGCCCAAACCGTAGATAAACCCTAAACCCTAAACCCTAAGCCCTAAACCCTAAACCCTAAACCCTAAAGCCTAATTAAACCCTAAACCCTAAACCCTAAACCCTAAACCCTAAATCCTAAACCCTAAACCTAGACCCTACCCTCATGAACTGTCGGGTCTGCAGCCGAGGGGCATCTGCACTCAAAGCTCGCACACGTCGGGCATACGAGTCGGTTTCCACCCTGGCCCTGCAACAGGCGTGATAGGAAACGACACAGAACCGAAATATAGGGGCCTGAATAGTTAGAATAGGGTTTTGGGGGTAATTCTGGTACACTGATAGAGGGACAATACGGGAATACTATTAGTAATCATTCCGACCCCGACAGGACACCCCACAAGCCTACCGAAGCATTAGGGCATGGAGCTTAAGGCATAGGGCATGGGGCTTAGGGCATTGGGCTTTGGGCTCATTACAGTAGCCGCTGTGGATACTCGCGGTTTAGGGTTTAGGGTGAGGGTTTGGGTTTTAGGGTTTAAACCCTGAACCCTAAGCCCCAAGCCCTATATAAGCCCCAAGCCCCAAGCCCGGCCCTAAACCCGAAACCCTAAATCCTAAAGAGTTTTGGGCTTCGTCGTTTGATTCGTGTCGGATGTGTAGGATCGTAGGGCTCAGGGAATCGAATCTGTGATTCCGAGCTGTTGCTCCAAGGGGCTTACAAGAGAACCCTAAACCCTAAACCCTGATCCCTAAACCCTAAAGCCTGAACCCTAAACCCTAAACCCTAGACCCTAGACCCTAAACCCTAAACCCGACAAAATAGACAATCGGAGCCAACCCGGGATCCGTCCTCAAACATCAGGCTGCGAATCTGTTAACCCCCCCCCCCCCGGGTTTAGGGTTTAGGGTTTAGGGTTTAGGGTTTAGGGTTTAGGGTTTAGGGTTTAGGGTTTAGGGTTTAGGGTTTAGGGTTTAGGGTTTAGGGTTTAGGGTTCAGGCATCCTCGCGCAAGTCCGGGCTCATGCGTATTTCAGAACCCTGAACCCTGAACCCTGAACCCTAAACCCTAAACCCTAAACCCTAAACCCTAAACCCTAAACCCTAAGTTCTTTGAAGTGGGCAAGGCAAGGGCCGTGCGCCTCATTCGGTCGGTAGTGGACAAACCTTGGCGCGTGTGCACAAGGAGGCTTAGGCAAATAGTGGTCATAGAGGCAAAAGGACATTCGTCTTCAACGCTGTAGATCCCAAAGCCGTAACAAAAACAAGGGCAAAAAGAAGAACTTCGCCTGGACCTGCCCCACGCCCTAAACCCTAAACCGTATACCCCAAACCCTAAACCCTATACCCTAAACCCTAAAGGTTCAGAGTTTGGTGGGTTGAGGTCGGAGAGTTGGGCACAGTGGGATTTAGGTTTTTAGGGTTTAGGGTTTAAGTCTCGGGCTTCAGGTTGGGGTTTAGGGTTTAGGGCTTGGGGTTTAGGGTTTAGGGTTTAGGGTTTAGGGTTTAGGGCTTGGGGTTTAGGGTTTAGGGTTGAGGGTTTAGGGTTTAGGGTTTAGGGTTCAGAAGGTCCCCCAGATAAACCTGTGTCTGAAATACGAAGCAAGCCTCAGCCCCGAACCTTCTCAGGGTCCAGGGTTTGGGGTTTGGGGTTTAGGGTTTAGGCTCTAGGGCTTTAGGATCTTCGTCCACGAAGCCTGCATGACGCGCCACGGTCGCACTCTCCCACCTGGGCAACCGCCGTGTCTGAGACCCAAATGAACCCCAAAAGGGTTTAGGGTTTAGGGGTTCCCCGCTTATACTAACAGTCCTTAATAGGGATCATAATGAGGGGTACTAGTATGCCTTTTCATGACTGTCAATGTAAGGGGGAGCATCCCAAGTCATGCACCCCAATCGGGGTTATGGAAATGTAGTAGCATAGGGCAATATTATGTCGACGAGCCTCTGAACCACCCAGAACACCTTCCGGTTCCCTTATTAAACCCTAAACCCTAAACCCTAAACCCAAAACCCTAAACCCTAAACCCTAAACCCTAAACCCTAAACCCTAAACCCTAAACCCTAAACCCTAAACCCTAAACCCCAAACCCTAACCCTAAACCCTAAACCCTCAACCTAGGGTCTAAGGTACGCGGTGGTGGCTGCCTTGCTTTCGGGCTTGAGGGTCGTCGGGCCCCAACGCCCTCAGCAACAAAACCCTTTAGGGTTTAGGGTTTAGGGTTTAGGGTTTAGGGTTTAGGGTTTAGGGTTTAGGGTTTAGGGTTTAGGGTTTAGGGTTTAGGGTTTAGGGGAATTCCGAAGCACAGACCGTACTAGGGTTTAGGGTTTAGGATTTAGGGGTTTTGGGTTTAGGGCTGGGTTTAGGGGTTCAGGGTCGGTTTAGAGGCTTAGGGGCTCAGGGGGGGGCCTTAGCGGGTTTAGAGATGATGAGTTCTCCAAGCCAGGTCCCTTTCGGGCCTTTCGGGGTCCCTGTCGTAACAGAGTCCCTGCTATGTAGAGAACTGACCAGGGCTTCAGGGCTAAGGGCTCCAGCTGCTACCCGAGAACTGCTCTCGGAAGCCTGGCTTAGGGTCGGGGCTGGGGTTGAGGGCTTCGGGCTTAGGCTGAAGGGTTTGGGGCTTGGGGTCTCGGTTCTAGGGCGAAGGGGCTAAGGCTTAGGGCTTCGCGCTGGGGCGGAAGGCTTAGGAAGCGGTTCGGGCATGCCATCGATGATCACCGAGGGCGCGGCCGCATAAAACTTGCAGATGCGTGAGGGGGGTGCGGCCTCCATGGCGTCCATCTCCAAGCCGAACATCATGAGGGCGGCTCGAAAAATTTCGGCCGGGCGCCGGAATGTCAAGGAGGATTCAGGAGGCACACCTCTATAGTGCCGGTAATGACGGTGGCTGAGCCGCCCCCCTTCAATTGCCTCCCTCTTGGAAGGTGTGAAACGCCCTCAAATGTACGGCCTTCTGTGAAAAAAACACCTGTGTCTCGTCCGCTGTCAGGGCAAGCACCACAACAAATCAGAGGGCACAAGCGCAGGTCTCACTTTTAAAACCTTTCAGGCGGCGCTCGCTAAACTGGAGCCGAAAAATTGCAGGCCGTTAAGGCTTCAGGTTGATAAAGTTTAGGGTTTATAAGGTTTAGGGTTTTGGTTCACCCTACGCCGTTTAGATTTGTAAG